ATATAGGGGTTATATTGGGATGTGGCTGAGTCACATCAAGGCCCAAAGCATTTCCAGCACGGCGCCAAAAGATGCCAGGTTAACAGCCCAGAGAGCCCAATGCCCCGTAATGAAGGAATATACCCTAAATCGTATTAGGGTCCCTAATATGATTTCAGCTATCTTCCTTCATTAAGGGGCTTTGGGCTCCCTGGGAGTCTTCAGGCAGGTGAGCCAGCGTGGTGCTTAGGCAGGCACTCGGCATGTCTGGCGGTCAGCAGGCACAGTAGGGTGAAGACCTGTTTTCTTATACGCATGAACCATGACAGACATGGCCTTGGACACGTTATGTGATGTCTCAACTCCATCGTGTTATCATCAGGCCGCGCAGGCATCTTCATGTCGTGCAGATGCCAACTTGGTCACATAGCGCGGGTTGACACGGATCAGGATGGTCTTAGAAGTATAGTGGAGAATCAAATCAAAAGGACAAGAAAATGGAAAATGACATGGAAACTGGAGTTCTGAGAATATGAATACATGCAGGGTATAAAAATCGCAGTGGGGTTAATATAAGTTATACAGGGGTTCTAGGGATTATGAAAAGCAACTCGTGTGATTCGACCAGGAGAGCCATGCAGGATTTATTTGTGTTTGCCTGCCGCCATGAGCGAGATCAAACACGTCTGCATGGGTAGAATACCGTAGCAACATATTATGCCATATACCACATAACACAAGCACATGATTGCCCTTGGTTAGAACCCAAAATACGAGGATATTCCTCATCATAGGGACCCACAAACAAGGTATACCTAATTTTGGCAAGCCCCCAGAAACGTTATACGGTTGCACTGGTGCTTTGGTGGTTCTGTGCCTTCAGGGTAACGTGCATTACTTACTAGTTCTTAGTAGAGAATAAGGGAAGATAAGCCCCAAAATAAACCCTATGCAATATACTCCCCAATTCCCTATTAAGAGCCACTAGGATGGTGTTTCTGTGCCTCCAGGGACTGCTCCGGCGTTGCTTGTAAGCAGTCATGGAGTGCCTGAAGACACAGCACGGCAGGCCAAGAAAGCCTCGCTCTGTAGCAACCAGCGTCAATATTAGTATGATTAGTAGTAGTAGTAGTAGTAGTAGTATTGTGAACATTGGTAGACTTATGATTCTCATTGTTACTAGTATTAACATTGTTAATATTGGTAGTGTTACAGGGGACCGACGGGACCAGCATTTCAAAAAAAGGCTGCTAAGTCATGTGCGCTCTCTCATCTGTGTTTCCAAGGGCATCAAAATTTAAAAGTGCCTCGAAGAGACCCTCAGCCTGGCCAACCACTTCCTGCATGTCAAAAGAACATAACTTGGACCAAGAAACTTGCATTCTACTAGTAATCTTGTTATCAGTATTACTTTTGTTAAAATTCTTATCTTTATATCATTCGTTGGGACTCTGTCCCCGGTGCCTGACCCTCATCGTCGCCCGCTGCAAGGGCAGACAGCCTCAGCTGAGGTCTCTTTAGGCGTGAGTTCCTCCCTCAAGCCGCAGCAGTAGCTAGTCCAAGCACTGAACAATTGCAGAGCTGGCGAGGAACCATCGGCGCTGTCCCTGTTGGTTTTATGATGCTTGCACTTTGTGATTCAGCACGCATGATCGTTAGACAGGTCGCAACAACCACAAGCAAATACGCTCGGTGTGCTGCAGTAGTTGGAGCCACGTGCTCATTGCCGGCCCCCAAAGAAGCCTGGGTATCCCGGCGTGCTTGAGAGGAACAAACAGAAATGCAGGTGCGCCAGAATAGGATCCCTGCTCCTTCACGTGTCGCGATGACACCGACAGGACTTGTAGCACTTTGCACGCATCACGGAGGAAACTGGGGTCACCCGGGCCAATGGCCTTCAAAGCCATCTCCGCAACACCTTCGCGCGTGAGGATGCGTGCCAGTCCCCCTCCGGGCAGCGCGATGGCATCCCCTGCATCTTGCACTCGGAAGGAGTTCGGGCATTCCAGGAGCTGTCGGAGCAGCGTAAAGCCATTCCGCTGCAGCATGTGGCAGGCAGGGAAGCTTCGAAGAGCAGACACTATTTGCTCTGCTTCCGTGCTGCAGATTTTCATAGGCTTTTCACCCATGGAAAGCATCAGCCCGTATGAGATTTGCAAGCAATCCATGCCAAACGTGCAGACGTCCACGCTGTCCACATGTCGATGGACTGCCGCAAGCGACCAAGCAAAGACCTCCTGCAACAGATCTAGCTGAGGAGCCATGTCGTTCATTCGCACGGCCAGAATGCGCAACGAGGCCGATACAACACGTTCACTTACACCGACGCTGGCGCAAAGCAGCTCCAAAGCAGCATCCTCTGAAGAGATTGGAAGCGAGCCCATAACAAAGCGAACAGCCTCCTGAACTTCCCTATCCAGAAAAGCAGCTGGACTCTGCCTCTTGGTCCATCGCTCGCGATTACGTAGGATCCCCTTGAAGCTGACTTTGGGAAGATCGGAAGGCTGTGCGGAGCGCAAGCGCTCCAACGCGGCTTGCCATGCCTCAGGGCAAGGAGCTTTCGGCTCAGAAGGTTGTTCGGTTGGCTCACTCACTTCAACCATGCGAGGCGTGGCCTCAGCCCGGGCTCCTGCATCCCGCACAGCCTTGGTCTGAATCGCCCGCGTGAGTTCGGCAGCACATTCCTCATGGCCTTTCCCGTAGTACCTCACCACATGTGAAGGGAAGAGTTCTGGGAAGCTTTCCTGCCAAGCATTCATGTCGAACGGCTTTGATGAGTCGTACATGAGGATGATTGGCTTGGAGTGCTGAGCCGCCCAAACAATCTCATTTGCAAGTTGCGCTTGCCTCTCCGTCTGGATGGCCACCGCAACTGCAACTGCTGCGACACAGTTTGCCAACTCAAAGGCATCTCTGAGCAATCGCCGCCGACCTCCTTCCAGAGCCGAAGAACCGGACAACCCAGGCTTGTAGAAAGAACGGAGGCCGCTCTTCCTGCAAACGTCGCAGACCCAGTCAGCCAACTCGTCCGCGTGTGCATCTTGCAAACCATGGGATCGAGTGACCATTACATCAATGGCGTTGGTCAATGATGGCTGCCATGAGAAGTGAGCACAGCCCATGCATTCGGGTCACAGAACCGCGCGTCCTTGACTGCCGATGCACGCCATCACGCAAAGAAGAACTGCTCCAAGTTGTGCTGCTGGCAGTGTTGCTTCGACTCAGAGTATCTTTGAGTTAAAAATATATTATAGTCTATTATAGTATATAGTATATTATAGTATATTATAGTAGTTTATAATATATTATAGTATATTACAGTATACGTGATGACTCTGGAGTTGTCATGTCTTCCACACAGCTTTGGAGCGAAAATGCACAGCGCAGGCTCCAGGTCATAACAAGAAATGTTATAGTCCCCCTTTAGTAGATAGAATATGGCTTTGGGGTATATTATGACCAGATCGCCATATACCCCATATTCTATCTACTTAAGGGGGACTATAACTCGCACTGCACGGAACAACAACAGTTGGAAAGGGACCTGATAAAGGTCCAAGCTCCTGCAGTACCAATTAATATGCATGGCTTTGCTTCTCCAATACAGGGCTTGTTCTCAAAACTATAGGCCCCTTTGGCTTATAAAGAAATATTACGGCGCCTAATATTTATTGGGACCAAAATGGGACCTTAATTTTCGGAACTACGCACAGAACAGATGCAGTGTCCTCGCCCACTGCGAGGAATCCGTGCAAACACGAACAAATGCCTCGCAACAGTCTGAACGGATCTGGCCCTGGGATGTTGGAGCTATAGTATAGTAAAGTGGAATATAGTATGGTATAGTATAGTACAGTATAGTACAGTATAGTATAATATAGTATTAGTATTAGTATAGTATAGTATAGTATAGTGTAGTACACAAATAAGTATAATACAGTTATACGTATATTATGGTATAACTATAGCATATTAAAGAATACAAGACCATTCAAGACATCTTTCACCGCATCAGGTCCCAACCGTCACGTGAGTTGCTGACAGCGCTAGTCCTGCCATCGAAGGAGTCGTCTTCTCTTCTCATTGGTTCTTAGTAACAAATAAGGAAAAATATTGTACAGCTTTTTTTGGGCCAAAGGGCTTTTACGTATTATAAAGATTGTGAAGCGCCTCCTTGGCATCTGCAGATCCAGGGTAAAAAGCCCCAGGCTCAGGCGGCTCAAGAACAAAAACACACACCGCCCCAGAGACAGATCTTATGTCACGCCTGCACCTAGCTTCTGTGCTAGCAAACTCACTCCGAACCCTCTATCAACAGGCTTTTAGCAAAAAACGTGTGATGTAGGGTTTGGGTTTTGGGTTTTAATTTTTAGGGAGTAAGGGACAATACTATATTATAGGGTTTCTACAGGGAGTATATTCCTCCACTTTTGGGTTGATGTTAAGGAACTGAAACGAAGTTGCCATTGTAACTTAATTTAAGTTCCTTCGCAGCATCCCAGTCTACTCTTGCAAGCGACACATGGCGTAGTCACCCTACCAGAATGTTACTACCTGTTGATCATGAACCCACCTTTTGTTTGGAGCCACAGATAGGCGTCTGCCCGCCTCGTTGCACGATCTCGTCTATGAGAGACAGGCCAGTGCTCCATGATTTCACCTGTCAAGTTTGACCAGCCCGTTGTATGATTTGACATTAAGGTCGTCTTCTAAAATCGTCAGACGATGCCTCGCCTTTTACCTGGGGAACTGCCACGTGGACACCAAATTCTGAAAACAACCTTTGGAGTTTCGATCCCAGATCTAAGGCTGCAGCGCAGTTTGTAGCCGCCCCAAAGGTGATTTCATTTGCCTGGATGCCTTCGCACGCGAATGGTTGTAATCCTTGTCACGTTCGCATTATCATGTCTACAACCGTCATCACTCCTAGTGATTTAGAGAAGGCGAGCTGCTGGGCCATCTTCTGACATGCTTTGGTTGCGCCGAAGAATGGACATGTTGCCACTCATATACAGGTGTACAAAACTATGCCTACACACCTTGGAGAATAATAGTCTTAAGCTACGCTCACTTCCAAGGTGAACAGCAATTGTTCCCACAGCGGCATCTCCCCAGTGAGGAGTGACCCAGCTAACCGGCTCGGATGCTCATGGACAGCTACAATGAGTTTACAAGCAAGCTACTTGAGATCGTATAATTAATATCCAGCGCAGAAATCTACTCGAGTTCAGCGTTCAGCGTCTGGGTTGAAGAGATAGTTCGAGATTGACCCCTATTGCCATTACTGACTACTGCCATCGTTTCAGGTTTCATCTTGCCCTTTACGCTGACAGCAGCTACCACGACTATGTTTCTTCTCACATCCTGTGCTAGCCCACAAAACGGGAATGTAGGGACCTACATGATATAGAGTAAGGTTCTGGGTCACAGTATACTATGGCCATAAAAAGTTTATGGGGGGAATATATTGGCAATCATTCGGCAATCCCAGTCTCCATTTCAACTTCCAGTGTGTTCCACATGACGCTCGGTTACTGCCCTGACCCCTATGCACTTTGTATATATGTACGAATGTATGTGTACATATTAAACCCTAAACTCTGAACATTCATATCTACCTGTACATGTGGCAGCTTGGCGCAGTTGTGGTTCCTTTGGAGAACCCTCAACATCACATCGGCGGTCCGGAAGTTTCGAACTACCTGAGAGCTTAATAGGTACATTGATATACAAAGATCTTCCAGAGTAGCTCAGGGGTCCCACACGCCCTTTTCTCTGGCCCTGCTGGCGGGGAAAGTAACTCGCCGTTTTAAGAATATATCATCTCGCAGTTCAGGCGGAGGCCCCGCGTCCCAGTGTTAGGAGTCTACGGGGAGAAGGGGTTGATCTTCAAATCCAGGTTTACAAGCTTTACTAGCTGTGTGGGAGTGGGTCGAACTATTGGCTCGGCCCATTAGGCACCGCACTATATTGCAGACCGAACAAGCGACCCTAATTTTGACAACCCCAAACCCTAAACCCTAAACCCCTGCACCCCCAAAACCCTAGACTCCTTGACCCTAAACCCCTAAAGCCCTAAACACCCACACCCAAAACCCCTTAAACGCCTACCCCCCTATACAGCCAGACCCTTGTACCCTTCAACACCTATACAGTTACACTCCTAAACCCTTATACCCCCAAACATAATTCCTATAGGTGGCTGTCAAAATTATGGTCCCTTTCTGGGTACCCTAAATATTAGGTGCCGTATTATAATAGGGATCCAAAAAGGGACCATAATTTTGACAACCACCCATATGAAGAACAAGGTTAGAGATGCATATGCTTCCAGACCTGTTAGAAGGCGGGAA